CAGCCTCTATGCCAGGGTCGGGCGGCACACACAAGTAACAGTCACCCTCAGCACTAACAGACAATGCATACATTGCATTAAGGATAGCATCATAGTAAAGAGCAAAGATATCAACCCCAGACCTAAGCAGCTCCGCCCATCGAGGTATCTCAGCCTCATCGCCAAACTCAGTGCGCCAAGCGTCGTCTAGGCGGGAGAAGCAGCGGTGCTGCGTGGGTGTTGAACTTCCCGCACGTCTGACCAGCGCGGTCACCTGTGCGAATGACGTATGGGCAGCGACCACTACCCCCAAACACCACACGCTGAGCAAACCACTCACGAAGCTTCTGGGGCGTGAGCTTCTCCCACGGACGCTGCTGTTGCTGCTGCTGCTGGTGCTGCTCCAGCCCGACCACCACCACTGCCGCCGCCGCCACCACCACTCCCGCCGCCGCCACTATCGCCGCCACCACTCCCACTGCCGCCCCGACCACCACCACTGCCACTCCCGCCGCTGCCGCCACCGCCGCCACCGCCCCCACTCCCACCACCACTCCCGCCACCACCACCACCCCCGCAGTCTCCACCGCCTCCACCCCCACCTCCTCCGCCGCCACCTCCACCACCCTTGCCGCCCTTGCCCTTGCCGCTGCGACGCTTCGCACTAGGAGCAGAAGCGGCACCGACCTCCTCAGCACCAAGGAAGTCGACAGCAGCAGCAGTAGCAACAGAGGGGGCAAGAGGGGAGGGGGAGCACCCCTCAAAGAAGGGCGTGCGAGGGGCGCCACTAGTAGCACCAACAGCGATGCACTAGTCTCGGCTGCAAGGAGGTGCTGCTCGAGGAGTTCAATGGTGAGCTTAGTGGGATGAAGCGCGAGAAAGTGGTCCCTAACTGCGCGAAGAGAGTCAGGGAGGCGAGTGACAATGAAGTAGTGAGTGAGGTAAATCGGGGGCTCGTTCTTGGGGAGGAACTCGTCTGGGGTGGCAGCACGGTAGCGAGCGTGCTTGGTGCGGAGGTGGGAAATTAGGTCCTCTACAGTGGCAAAGGACGACAGCTTGGGAAACAGGAAGGGGAGGATAAGGCGGCCGAAAGCCGCTCCGGCAGGGGAGGAATAGCGAGCGACTACAGCGTCGTACAGGGCTTTAGCAGTCTTGTGCTGGCCAAAGTGAGCGTGTTCAGTCGTCGGTAGGTGGTTGCGAACGGCTAGGTGAGCGGCAGCGTCACGGGAAAGCCACTGTGAGTGAGTCGCACTCTCAGCAGTGTCAGGAGGGGCAGTAGAGGCTCCAGACATGTGGTCAAAGAGGGAAACACCGTCCTTAATATCGCTCAGCAGGTACAACTGTAAATCATCGAGCCAGGTTTCGAACTGAATCGGACGACCCTCAGGGTCGAACTCGAGAATAACGAGGGAAGCCATAGCGGGCAGTACAGGCTAGAGCGTAAGGCAGGAATGGGGCGGCACGCAGCTTGCAGGGCGGCGCGCGGCAAGGCAGGACGTGGGTAGGGCAGGGCAGGGCGCGCGGGCAGGGCAGGAGAAGCGGCGCGCTGGGCAGGAGAAGCGGCGCGCGGGCTGCAGGGGCGGCGCGCGGTGCAGCAGAGGCAGCGCGTGGGGCTGCAAAGGCGGCGCGCGAGCTGAAGGGGCGGCACGCGCGGGCGATACAGGGCAGGGTAGGGCGTGGGGTAACGCGGTAACCGGTGGGCCCTAAAAGAACAGTCCTACGGACCTACTGCTCTGATACCATGTTGAGAATCTAGGCAAAGAATGATGAAACTAGCAAGAGTTGGGATACAAATAGAAACCCTAGAATGTGTTGTACCCTATGTAAGCTACCCCACTGCAGCCTACAAACAACAAATAGTATTTTAGTTTGACAACACAGATGTCTCATGCACATGTACATGTGACGCAGCTCGTGCAGAAGTTCGCGGGTGTTCGTCTGCGCAGGGTCGCGTCTGACCCTGCGCACCCTTGAGACTGCACAGGCGAATTTCGACCAATCAGGAGCTGACATTTTGGAATATCGACCGAGGTGGTCGACGAAGGTCGTCGACCCGCGACGACAAGGGTAGTAAACCGGTGATGACGAAGGTCATCATCCTGCAGAGTTGCCAGTAACCTTTCCTGGTTGACCAAGTTACCTGCTCAACGAGGTGCGCGAAGGTGCGCGAACGTCGTCGAGGCTGCTGTGGCGAAGTCGACCGACGTGGCAGCACGTGGTCGACGGGGCTCCTCAAATGCAACCGTCAGCAAATGGCTGCAATGTTGGCAAGCCGCGCGGATGTTGCGTTGGCAAGCCGCGCGGGTGCAGCGTTGGCAGACCGCCATTCTGCAGCATTGGCAAGTGGCACACAAGCTGCGTTGGCGGCGCGTGAAGATGCTGCGTTGACAGGTCATCAACTTTGTCGTGCTGGCGATCGACCTGCCTGAGCACTAGCAAACCTTGCATCTGATGTAGTCTATCTTTTGCCATTGGATGTTCATTCTGAACTCTCTTATTCTCAACTTTTCTTAGTGAAACTCTTATTGTTTTGCCTTGTGAAAACACAAGTCCTAGAGAACACAGACAGAGCTACGATCACTCTGACAACTCGTGCCAACCCCGTAGTCTTGCTCCCACCGTTGTAGAGTTAGTCTCCGCACGCGCTCCTCCCCTCCTTCCTCTCCACGCTCCTCCCCTCCTTCCTCTTCGCGCTCCTCCCCTCCTTCCTCTCCGCGCTCCTCCCCTCCGCCCTTGTAGGCTCGCCTTAACGCCCGTCGCGGCGTCGCCGCGCCGCAAATCTGCTCCCAGCGTCGCCTCGCCGCAAATCCCCGCTATCGATGTCGCTTCGCCGCAAATCCGATCGCGGCGTCGCCTCGCCACCCCACACTGTCTCCTCACGCCATCGCGACCACGCTGGCCGCGCCACACACTGCGGACCCTCGTGCTCCTCCCAACATCCCCTTTCGACATCCCGTTCTCCCCTTCCGGCATCCCGTTCTCCCCTTCCCGCATCCCGTTCTCACCTTCCCGCATCCCGTTCTCCCCTTCCCGCATTTCGTTCTCCCCTTTCCGCGCTGCATGCACGGCGGGCTCGGCGACGGTGCGAATGCGGAATGCAGAGGGGGGGAAGCGGCAAGGGAATGTGGAAGGGGGCTTGCGACAGGGGGAATGCGGCTTCTATGCGGCGGCGCGACGGCGACGGCGCGAATGCGTCTGGACGCACGAGACGGCGCGAGCGCGTCTTCGTATACGCGCGAAGTCAGGATTGCGGTTGATCGAACGCGAGGCGTCACTAGCACTCGCCGTGTCGCCACTACTTGGTTCGTTCTACCAACGGTATTCTATTTGCTATTAGTCGCTTGTTCTCCCATTTTGTGACTTCACAACCTTCCCAACCCTGGCTCCCTCACAACAGCTAGGCCTCAGCTTTTCGCCAGCACTCTCGCCAACATGTTTTTTTCTCGTTGAGGCGAAATCGCCTTTGCACACTGTACAAAACAAACAGTACTGTCAAATGAATACTCCTGCTTTAAAACCCCTGTCAAGATCTTCCGAACATATGTTTTTCTCTTGGCGCATGTGATTGGTTTGCGATTGGCGAGTGGTCATGGAGAGAAGAAATGTCTTGGCGAAACGAGATAATCCCCAACCACGAACAGCACATCCCAGCAAGGAAGTCTTGGTGCAAGGGTTACTAGACAACCGCGGAGATTGGATGAGTCGCACGAGACGTGGCGAACACCCGAATGTTTGCGAAACATATGCTACTGGGTAGGCCCTCCTTGTTCGCACGGGCGCCAGCAGCAGAAGGAAACTGAACCCAAAAGCCAGATCAACAACATCAACCCAACTAGCCAAAAGGAGTTGAAGATGGGAGCTTTCTCTATAAGTAGCCCCGACCTGCTACATATTTGTTAGATTTGCCCTCGAGATCAAGAATGAGCTCTGACTTCCTGGTGTAGGGAGGGAATTTTGCTATAATTTTATGAAAAATAGTTGTGATGTTGGTCTGGTATTTTGGTAGGAGAATCCCAAGCTTGGATCCACGACCCTTGGAGAGCATTGAGCCAAAAGCAGATAACTTACGCAACGTTTTGGGTTTGTGGGGCTACCGCAGGTACTGTCCTTCGCGATCTCAAGTTCCGCCTACACAAATTTCGAATTACGTTACTCTTGACAAAAAAAAACACAACGTAAAACTGAAGTCACGAGAACCTCTTTAACGAGTCCAGATTCAAAACCACCTCCAATTTCATTCGCATGAGAGTACCTCGGTGTGTGTCTTCTCGATAATCTCCGATCAGGCACCACCGCTGAATTCACGGAGCATATGGCTGCCGCCGTGCCACGGAGATGTCGGACCATAGAGAATTCCTATTGTATCGTTCTCAAGCGGGCAGTTGAAAGAGATTGTTTCGCGTGTTTCCCTTGACTCCGTGGTTCCTCATTCTGCCCACTGGGAAAAATATGCAGCCTTGGGAGCTCGCTGTGCATTCATCTGGCCCGAGCCGCCTGATCTGTCGCGGGGAGGCTCGGAATGCATACCGAGGCAGATATCCCGATCTCGAGGGCAGCGGAACACAATATTTTCGCGCCGCAGCCTTGTTCGAATCCTACGTGAGAGTCGATCAGCCAACCCATTCGTTCCGTTTGCTGCCCTTTTTTTTTTCACCCCTATCCGGGCCAACATGCCAAAGCAACATTCAGAAAGTCCCGGAGCATGCAGACGTACAGCGGTTCCACGGGTCTAGCCGTTCCGAACCTGTCCCCTCTGTTCCTCTTCCCCACAGCCCCCCTCCCACTCTGTTATGCTAATTGTTTTTGATCGCCTAGAAAGTCTCAACACCAGGCCCAGTCATTTTCAAAGTTCTTCTCCACAATCTCAGTGTGTGTCCTCCCAGTTATCTTGAGCTATTCTCGGTTTTGTACCTCGGTTCTTATCTTGAGACCTTAGCTAGCTTTTCATGGCTTATGCTAACGACTACCCAACTTTCTCTGAAGCCCTCGCATTCTTTAGAAACCGTGAAGCACTTTTACAGATGCCGATTCAACCTGTTATAACGTTTTCACCTTCCTATTCGGCTGCAGAGGAGGAGGGGGTGTGGAATGAGGCCGCCTGGTACTCCTATTCGACTGCAGAGGAGTCATCCGAGGCTACAGAGGGCTGTGTCGTGGCAGCAGAAACGTCTGATGATGCTGCAGGGTTCTCCTTTGAGGCCTCAGTGGATAATTCCGGTCCTACTGAGAGTCTCGCTGATGCTAAAGGGGATTCTATTGACGCTGCAGGTGACTCTTCTGATAAGTCTTCACGGACTGAGAGCAGGCTAAGCAGCAGCTTTAGCACCAGTGCTGTTGAGGGGAGTATTGTTTACCACAGGCTCTACTCCACTTGAGAATACATCGACTTCAGCAGTCAGTTCAGCTTTGGGTTGACTTGGGCAAACGTTACGAGAGAAGTGCTCAGTGGCGTTTACAGTAACTTGAAGAAGGGCGGAAATGGTTGCTCAGGAACGGCAGCGATCGTGTCTACAGGAGTGGCTGCTGACGTGGGCGTTGCGGTGGATGCTGATGTGGCTGCTGCGCTGGATGCTGACATGGTTGTTGCGGCTGCTGCTGGCGTGGATGTTGCGGTTGATGCTGACGTGGGTGCTGCAATGAAAGCTGACGTGGGAGGTGCGGTTGATGCTGACATGGGTGCTGAAATGAATGCTGATGTGGGTGGAGCGGTTGATGCTGACGTGAGTGTTGCTGTTGATGCTGACACGGGTGCTGTGATGAATGCTGATGTGGGTGCTGCAGTGGACCCTGGCATGGGTGCGGCAATGGGTCCTACTGCAGGCACGGCTCTGTCACTTGCCTCTGCAGTGCTGTTGTTTGCAGGCTCAGCAATGTTGCTTGCAGGCCCAGCTCTGTTGCTTGCTGGCACAGCTCTTTTGCTTGCTGGCGCAGCAATGTTGCTTGCGGACGAGAATCCAGCCTCGAGAAAAGCAGCAGTCGGTCTCAAGTCAGACAGTGCAGGAGCTCTTGCGGTGAAGACCATTGCTGCGGAGGGGAGAAACGTTCCGGTTGTGCCTGTGTGTTCTGAAAAGGATATGAGGCGCAGTGCACAATCTGAGGGGAAAAACGGCAATGTGAGGGCAAGGGTGGGTGCAATGAGGCGTCCCTGGCGGCTGTGAAGACCCAGATGTGGCAAAGGGAGTGGTCGAAGAGCATTGGGTGTAGGTGAGTGCTACTGGTGTGGCTGGCAGCAATCAATTTAGTGTAGTCTTGTAATATTTACTTCAGTTGTTTAGGTCTTTATCATCCCTAAGATGCTAAGCATTTTTAGGAAAATGTACATAATTTGGTGCTGAATAATAGTGTGGCTCTCTGGTGGTGAGTCATGAAACTTGTTTATGGCAAACAGCCTTTTACACAATGGTTGTCGCTAAGCTCCTTCTGTGTACGTAGCATTCCTTATCTCAGGATGCACTGCAATTGTGATGAATCCAAGTGGCTGAAAAGCTCTTGTTCGTCTTCTGTTGTACAAACTCATTCCTATACTTGCAGAACTTTCACATCGTTGCAAAAAGCATTCTGCTCGTGCCTTGCCAAAGGCACCTGTGCAACACTGGGTGGACCGCGGAGCCTAACCTGTGCTGCCTTTCCCATGCAGCATCATTTGTCTCATGGTTGCTTCAAAACCTGCTCGCAACACAATCCCAAGGCAGAAAAGACAGGTCGAAGTGGTGACCATGGTGGTGACATACGTGTGACAATGAGTGACATGTGTGAAAATGGTGACATGCGTGTGACAGTTGTGACATACGTGTGACAATGAGTGGCATATGAGTGACAATGAGTGACATATGTGTGAGAATGAGACGTTTGTGTGACAATGAGTGACATTTGTGCAACAACGGTGACATATGTGTGACAATGGTGACACGCATGTCAGTGAGTGAACTGCACATGCACCTGGGGGACATTGTGCGGCACAATGTGCGACGATGAGTGACAGTTTGTGACTGCAAAACCAGTTTGTGAAAATGTGTGACAGCGAGGGACATTTTTTTATAGTGCGAGAAAACGCATGTGCAATTTGTGACAATAAGCGAGAAATGTGCCACATTTTGTGACACATTGTCACAATGTGTGACAATGTGACACATTGCCTGACAATGAGTGACAAATGTACCATGGTGAGACAATGTATGTCCAGGTCCCAGGAGTGAAGAATGTTTGACAATGTGTGGAATCAGTGACAGATGTGTGACAATGAAGAATGCGTCACATTGTGATATGAGGTGCTGATTATTTAAAAACATTGTTACAATGTGACAGACGTCGTGAGACAATGTGTGAGAATAAGTAAAAATCTGTGACAATGTGCGATGCTGTGTGACAGTCGGATTCAGTGTCTGTCAATGTGTGACAATAACTGACATCCTGTGACAATGTGAGATTAGGTGTGACAAATAAGTGACACCCCATGATACGCTGTGACAATGACTGGTCCTGAGACAACGCGAGACAAGGTGTGACAATGTGCGCCAATGAGTGACAATGCCTGGGAGGGACGCTCCACCGTATCAGTCTTCTGTTTTAGACATTCATTCATGCACTTGCACAACTTTCACATTGTTGTAAAACAACCCTGGCAGTGCATGTGCTTTGCCAAAGGCACCTGTGCAACACGGGGTGGAGCCTACACGGTGCTGCCATCCCCTGGCTTCAGCACCCACCGTTTGTGATACTACTTCATATGGGACTTGGCAGGTAGGCATATCCTTCACCTGAGTTAGGCAGGCAGCCAGGCAGGAAAGCCAAGAAAATACAGAAAAACAGCAGGTGAAATTGTACGAAAGGGAAGTTCATACGTAACAGGGGCAACTCAGAGGTTGTGGTGTAACCATGTGACTCATTCCCAACATGTGATAATGTGAGACAAAGCGAGAAAACTGTGTGATAGTACGTGACAATGGTGACATATGTGTGACAAGGAGACAGTTGGGTGAGAATGAGTGACATATGAACGTCAGTGACTGAAGGTGTGAATGGGGGGACATTGTCCAATGAAGGTCATTTTGTGACAATGGGAGACAATGCATGACCAATATATGAATGTGACAATGCACACCATTTTCTGACAATGGGAGACAATGCATGACCAATATATGAATGTGACAATGCACACCATTTTCTGACAATGGGAGACAATGCATGACCAATATATGAATATGACAATGCACACCATTTTCTGACAATGGGAGACAATGCATGACCAATATATGAATGTGACAAAGCACACAATTTTCTGACAATGGGAGACAATGCATGACCAATATATGAATGTGACAATGCACACCATGTCGAAACAAGCTAGGCAGAAGTTAGGAACAGAAAGAGGGTTTGAACTAGCAGGCAGTTGAGTACAAATAGGAACCCTAGATTGGGCTGTACTCGCTATAGAGTACCCCACTGCAGGCTAGACAATATAACATTCTGACACACCCCCATAGCCAAAGTGGGGTGTAATCAGCACAACAAGCAGTCACAATAGCAATAGTTCATAAAATTATGAGCAAAGGTAGAGGCAGTCACTGAGGGCAAGTGAGGAGGAGGAGGGCTAGCGAGAGGAGAGTAGATGGGAGGCGACGACTGAAGCTGCAGACACACGGGCAACAGACGGCTCTGGTGCAACGCTAGTGGCTACCGGGAGCAAGTGCCCCGGAATACAGGAGTAACTGGCTCTGCGTCTGATCAGCAGCGACAGGAGCAACGGACCCACGGGCGACAGGTGCAACCGGCTCTCTGAGCTACCGGTGGCTATCAGAACCCCGGAATACAGGCGCTGCGGACGACACGACGGCAACCTCCACTCAATCTCCCCCAACAGTCCCACACCCCTCGACACACACCCCCTGCTGCGCCCCTAGCTCCACTCCCCCTTCACCCCCCTAGCACCACTCCTTCGGCTCCCCACACAACCACCCCCCTGAGCGGCAGCTGCAGCAGCGGGAGACGAAGGAGGAGGAGGAGGAGGGGACGGGGCACACAACCGGCACCCCCACAACCGCCACCCCCACACTCCCCACCCCCAAACCCTAAAACGGGCGGAACGGGGGAAGGAGCGCGGGGGACGGCGAGGGGAACGGCGCGACGGGGAATCGGGAGCCGCGCGCGGCTCCAGCTGGTCGACGCGATTGTCGATGGGGCAGCGGGGGGTCGCGCGCGGCTCCCCAGGGCGGCGCGACGGGGTGGCGGGGCGACGCGACCACCGACGGGGCAGCGGGGGCAGCGCGCGGGTCCCCTAGGGCGACGCGACGGACAGGGCGGGGGCGCGCGCGGGTCCCCCACGGTAGGAAACCGCCGTGCGCCTCGGGGCGCACGGCGGGCAGAAAACCGCCGCGCGCCCCGAGCGCACGGCGGGATGAAAACCCTAAAAAATTTCGCCGCGCGCGGAGCGCGCGGCAGGAAGAAGACGACGCACGCCCGAGGCGCGCGAGAAGCATAACAGCAGCGGAAGCAGTTAGGTGGTGGGCCCACCCACAGGATCGACCCAAGGGGGTCGACCTGCTCTGATAGCATGTCGAAACAAGCTAGGCAGAAGTTAGGAACAGAAAGAGGGTTTGAACTAGCAGGCAGTTGAGTACAAATAGCAAACCCTAGATTGGGCTGTACTCGCTATAGAGTACCCCACTGCAGGCTAGACAATATAACATTCTGACACACCATTTTCTGACAATGGGAGACAATGCATGACCAATATATGAATGTGACAATGCACACCATTTTCTGACAATGGGAGACAATGCATGACCAATATATGAATGTGACAATGCACACCATTTTCTGACAATGGGAGACAATGCATGACCAATATATGAATGTGACAATGCACACCATTTTCTGACAATGGGAGACAATGCATGACCAATATATGAATGTGACAATGCACACCATTTTCTGACAATGGGAGACAATGCATGACCAATATATGAATGTGACAATGCACACCATTTTCTGACAATGGGAGACAATGCATGACCAATATATGAATGTGACAATGCACACCATTTTCTGACAATGGGAGACAATGCATGACCAATATATGAATGTGACAATGCACACCATTTTCTGACAATGGGAGACAATGCATGACCAATATATGAATGTGACAATGCACACCATTTTCTGACAATGGGAGACAATGCATGACCAATATATGAATGTGACAATGCACACCATTTTCTGACAATGGGAGACAATGCATGACCAATATATGAATGTGACAATGCACACCATTTTCTGACAATGGGAGACAATGCATGACCAATATATGAATGTGACAATGCACACCATTTTGTGACAGCGCGAGAAAATGCATGTTGTGACAATAAGTGAGAAATGTGCGGCACTGTGTGACAATGTGAGACATTGCCTGACAATGAGTGACAATGGATGACCACGGGTGAAGAATGTTTGACAATGTGAGTGAGGAATCAGTCACATATGTGTGACAGTAAATGCAAAATGCACCACAATGTGAGACAAGGTGTTGACAATCAGAGACTGTGACAATGAGAGAGTGTGTGAAAATGTGTGACAGTTAATAGAAATATGTGATACTGTGTAACAGTCTGAGTCAATGTCTGACAATGCGTGACAATAAGCCACCGCTACAGCCTGAGGTGACGCCCCTGCCGCCCTCTGCTGCTCCTCTGCTGCCAACTGCTGCTGCTGGCACAACCCGGGCTCACTGGGACATGTAGGGAAGGGTGGCGAAGGGTGAGGTGGAAAGGGAGGCGATGGGTGGGAAGGGAGGGGAAGGAGACAGGAAGGGGGTGAGTTGTCAGCAAACAGCATCCAACCCTCATGCAGAGGACGACTGGGCCGCTTCGCCACATGATTCAAGTCAGTAGCCACCCCTGCCAGCCATGCTGCAGGCACGAGGGCTGTGCCTGCCTGCACACGTGGCTGCACCTACCAACCTGCACACGTGGCTGCACCCACCAACCTGCACACGTGGCTGCACCTACCAACCTACACGTGGTGTTGAGCGAATATCCTCCTCAGAGCACCGGGAAGTGCATCTTGTGTTTCGGCACTCAGGCTCCGCCCCACCGCCCCCACACCCTCCACTGCGCCTCCTCCTCCTGCTCCTCCGCCACCCCCTGCTGCTGCTGTTGACGCA